GGGCGGGCGGGGGGGAGGGAGTTGCGGCCGGTCTTCACATGTAAAATTTTAATATATGTGCAGCTACCCCAAAAGTAAGACCTAGCGGATCTCTGTAATATAAGACCAACCACCGAACTAGGTCTTATTTTCGGGATGGGTCTTACCTTCGGGGAAACACGGTATGAGCAGACAAGTTCTTAAACTCTAATGTACTTTCAATAGCTATATCATTAATAAAATCCATTACTCACCAACTTTTAGGCGAAGTCCTTTTCGAACTGGATCACTCAGCTTCCTGGCTGAAAACGCATCCAATCACCTTCTTACTGTTTAAGATTACATTTGAATCTAACTACTGTACACTGATGCATCTGGTAAAGATGTCATGTGACCATGATTTCAAAGGGATGATGTACTCACTGATTGGACCGATCTTAAATTGTTGTCTGTAATCTTCTGATGTAATGAAGTTTTAATAATTTACGTTTGTTGCCTTTTGTTCAATGCCCCCCCAAAAAAGATTTGCATAGACCACACAGCGTAGTTATGTGGCACCATAACATTGACGATGATAAATATTTGAGCATCAACATGAAATGTCCATAATGAGGTCATTACACAGTAGAGAAGAGTTCCAGAAAAGTTCCAGAAGACGTGTTAATTACTGTTTATAGAGATACAATTAATGATTCAGTACAACAGCAACAAATTCCCAGCACACTCACCAGCCAGCCTGCAAAAAAACACTTTCACACTACTAAGGTTAAAAACAGATGCACGTCTTCTGCAGAATATGTGGAAGCCGCACGGCCTCGTCAAGGCCCTTCTGTGTAGTGTGGTCCTAGCTAGGGATGCACCGATGACGGTTTTTGGGTATCGAGTACGAGTACAGGTATTTTTTTTATCCAGTACTCGCCGATACCGAAGTCCCATTCAGGAAGCCAGGCGGTGTGTAATGACTCTCCACCTGGCTTCCTGTTTCGCCAGGAGGCCGGGCGGCGTGTATAGACTCGCCACCAGGAATAGCAGGGGAGACCCCCCCCCCATGCTTCTTGTCACTAGGTGTAATGACGCAGCGCCAGGCTGCTTGATTGGCCGGGAAGCCGGCTTCATGCTCCCACATCACCTCATGACGAGAGAGCATGGAGTTGGCTTCCCGGCCAATCAGAAAGCCGGGCGCCGCATCATTACATGGCACCCGGCTTCCTGATTGGCCAGCTTCCCGACCAATCAGGAAGCCAGGCAGTGAGTTATTACACACTGCCTGGCTTCCTGATTGGCCGGGATGCCGCCTCCATGCTCCCTCGTCTTGTGACGAGGGAGCATGGAGGCAGCTTCCCAGCCAATCAGGAAGCCAGGCAGTGTTTAATTATTCGCTACCCGGCTTCCTGATACTGGAAGTATCGGGCTAGGCATCGGAGCATGTGGGCGAGTACGAGTACTCGCCCAAATACTTGGCACCGATACCGATACTAGTATCGGTATCGGTGCATCCCTAGTCCTAACTCTAATCTAAGAGCGCCTCCATCTTGGAGCATATATCGCAAAGACTAAGACCTGTTTTTTAACCTTAGTAGTTAGTGTTTTTGTTTTTTGCAGCCTGGCTGGTGAGTGTGCTGGGGAATTTTTTGCTATTGTACTGTTTAAAGCCTAATGTCTGTGTCCCCGTTTGTGTGAATAACTCTCTCTGTTTGTCCTGGTGACCATTGTCACTGCAAAAGAAGGTGATGGGAAAATCCAAGACATTATGGCTGAACAGGAGGAGAGGGCAAATCTTCCATTGAGGACACGTGTTCCAGTAACAAATTCCCTCTGGAGGGATTTCCTATGACGTCCTGTTGTGCCTCCAGGACAGGAATGGAAATCTCCTCAATGGGTCATAGACGGCGACCCCAAAAAAACCCTTACGGAGAAATGGCTTTAGAGGTACGTTAATTGAAACCAGCAGAAAGGGTTTTGTGTACATAAGTGTCCGACTAAGAATGAAATATGATGAGAGCATGGTGATTTTAGGGGAAAAAAACAGACCTGTTGAGATTAGAAATGTAAACAATGGGGGGATTTATCAAAACTGGAGCAGACAGAATCTGGAGCAGTTGCCTATGGGAACCTTCTCTCTTAAGTTTGTTTATTTAAGCTTTGAAAATGAAAGCTGGATGCTGATTGGTTGCCATGCACAGCTGTTCCAGATTTTGTCTACTCCAGTTTTGATAAATTCCCCTCAATGTGTTTCAGGTCCTTCAAAAATGCTTCACAAAGCTGTAAAATACAGACGGAACCTTGGAGAAAAGAGACTCTCACAGCAAGCTCATGATTGAGGCTGTGAATGGAATATTTGGTGGACTGCTGAAACTCCACGTACCTTCGCTGCATGACAGTGATCCCACCTTGGGACAAGGCTTTGCTGTTGGCCATGTGCAACAACCAGATCTCTTTGTGGGTGAAAAGTCGAATACTGAAAGCTTTCTCCAACAGCTTCTCTACACAGAAATGTTGGGAGATGTTCTTCACAAAATTCTGAATGTCGGACCTGATGTCCTGTCCTACGTAGTCAACTTGGAGTTTGTACTGTTTGAGCAGGGCTAGAGCCACCCTGTACAAGACTTTGTTGCCCTCGAGAAGAAAAACGTCAAAGACCCTAACAGCGTACTCAAAGGGTAGATCACCAAAAACCCATGTTTGCCAGTCGGAGAAGACATCTGAGGAATTTTCACAGTTGGTAGCGATGAATTTATGACCAGCTTGGCAATATTTCTTGGCTAAGTCGCCAAAGGCCATGCTTGAGGCTTCGTAGGACAGAAAGCTTTGCTCAATGTAAGACTTGTGTGGATCAGTGCAGGAGATGAGGCGGCAGACCTTCTCGAAACACTCCGCCTCATCTTCGCTGAAGTGCATCAAGAGCGCCACCACTGCCGGCAAGGAGGGAGAATAGGTGATGTCCGGATACTGGTTACCGATACAGATCAGCACCTTCTTCACGGCCATCTCTCCTCTAGCGTTGAGGCAGTACATAGGCAGAAGACAACCGTCCACGAACTCTGGCAAAGGATGGTCAAGTGGGCCACCATGACCGAAAAGCCTCTCGGCTATATCATGGTAAACCGTGCCATTGGGTGTGAATATCCGGCAGTTGATGTTCTTGATGATCTTGTTGTAGGCCTCGGATCTCAGGGTTCTATGGCCGGCCCAAGTGCCCTCTCTGGCCATCCGCTTCAGTTCCTTGGCAGAGAAGGGAATTTCCAGATGTGAAGGACTCTGCTTCTGAGGCTTGATGGAGAACAGATCCCAGTCCACAAAGTGCCCACAGTCGGCATAGGAAGAAGTATCGATATCCCAGGCATTGTCGTCTGGGGTAACAATGATCGGCAGGGAGCAAAAGTCACTCATACCTGTTCAATGAGATGAAAATAGAAAAAAGATATTTTATGAAGATAAAATTAGTTTTTATCAATGGAAAACCCTAATACTGTAGGACATTCAGTTTGCTAAAGCAACGGTTATTGCAAATCATTGCCGTGTTCTATTTTTTCCATAAAATACTGTTTTCACCTCTTTTTTTTTTAAATTCTTTTTTGCATCTAATGTTTTCCAGCCTCTTTCAGTCACTTCCTGTCTACATGCACTCGCTCCACCGTCTGTGGCACATCATAGCTCTTGATCATCTTCCTGGTAGTGACAATGATGGACCACGCCGGCTCAATGTGTCACCATGGCTGTTTTTGGTACCCATCAGAGGTGCATGTGACAGGGCAGAGCCTTAGCGAGCTCCTTTTGCGCCCCAAGGTAAGAACAGAAAATGATGTCCCCCCAACAGACGTGTGATGTCACCAGACGCTGCACATGCGCGGCTTCATGTGACATCATGCGCCTCATGCGCCCCGCCTCTGGGACGGCGCGGGGGGG